ATACTCAAGTCTGACTTACAATGTATCACCAAGTTTACTTCTAATTAGCAAAGTGGAGGATCTGTGTTGTCTAACAGACAAAATGTAGCCACCTGGTTAACTTAGTTTAATCCAGGCTTCCTCAAACTTGTCTGAAGAGAGAAAACCTTTCCCCTCTCTGGAGAACTGGCATGCTGAGAGCCTCACTCTGAGTCACCCTGCTTTCCTCAGTACTATACCTACTATCATGCTTACCTTCGATCACTGGGTACCCACAGATTTTTACCACAGAAGAAACTGTAATCCATAGCAATTATTATTTTATAATATTGATTAAAAACCAGAATTTAGTGAATCACTTTGACTGTGAAAAAAAGATGAGTAAACACGGGTCGTATATTCGAAGCACTGGCCGACAGGAACAGGTCACCCTGTGCACACCTTACTCCCGAATACATCTGTCTTGTTTTGATTTCAAACATGCTTCCTTCCTCTGATTTCACAAATTTGTGCCTTGGCCACAGAGGACATCGAAGCGGGATGCTAACAGGACTTTAAGGTAGGTGAAGTCACATGCTTAAGGCCACAGAGCAAATACTGTCCAGAGATGAATGTGAGGGGTCTATCTCTGCAGTCCAGGTGTAGTCTAGGCTGGGAGCTAACAGTGCCCGAAAGGAAGTGAGCAGCCTGCTGCAGTTTGGGATGACAAGAGGGGGGAAGAAGGCAAATGGTTAATCAAAGGGCAAGCTGCTGCACGCCCTGAGGTAAGGAGCCAGGCCAAATGTGATGAGTCCAATTCAAGTATATAAATTCCACCTGCCTGAAGACACCTGCAGCTCTTTTTAAATTTCATGAATAATTAACGGCGTTCCTTTGAAGGCCTATAATGGTAACATGTCTCCTTTGAGAGGCGGTTGCTGTCTGTAGAGCAGCCATCTTTGCTGTCCTTAGCAAAGCTCTCTGCCTGGTCTGTGGAGCGTCCAACTGAATGTCTTTCTTCCGGGGCCATTCTGTGTGTGGAGCAGCCAGCTGTGTTTCTTTCCTGTGATAAACTTTTATTCTGTTTGAGCCTTGGAACTGGCCCATGGATGAGTTTCATCATATAGGTGGCTAAGAATCCACGCTAGCCAGTGACTTCATAAACTAGAGACATAAATAGCTTTAAGAGAGACATATCATTTGCCTAACATTTCATCTTGCTCCTTAGCCAATGAGATGTTCATGGAAAAAAATCCCACTACAGATTCTCAAATGGAGGAAATTCACTGTTCAAAATCCATGTAATTTCTTTGTCAAAGTTGATTTTTGTCCAGGTAACTACACAGCCCAGCCAAGCACTGGTTTCCAATAGGCAACTCTAATTCTATTTTTAATCACTGAGTTGAGCTGTGAGTTCCAGTGAGTCTTGTGTGGTTTTGGGGGATGGGTTCCCAGGGTACCATTTTGTTTAATACAGGGCCCGCAGGTGAACCTCTGGGGACAGGAGCCCAACACAGGGCACCGCTGGCCCAACTGTCCCTCACCCTCAGACTACATAACCAGGTGCCCAGATACCGGACCTCAGTTTCAGGGCAGGGCCTGAGCTCATTACAAGCTCCCTGTCCCGCATATGCTTAGGAGATGCTCCCCTAACCTAGCTAGAAGAGGATCTAGAGCAGCCTTTTCCAACCAAAGGAATACTAACTTTTTGAAAAAATGCCCTCATTTTGAGATTGATATTTAACATTAGCAATTTATAAAACTTGATGTCTAGATTAAAGCTTGTTTAGTGTATTCCTGTGGATTTAATAATTTTTTTTAAGGATAGAGAGATTTGGCATCTTTTATATTTTTATAGTACACAGAATTTCTCATTCAAGAGAAAGAGCTTTAGAACCCAAAGATATTGACAAATTATTTTAATAAAAGTTAGTTTGTGTTTGAATATTTCCCTGAATTCCCTAGCTAATGAACACAGTGCTCTTACGAACTGTTAGGCTACATAATATTGCCCGCTTCTTTGTTAATTAACCACAGTGGACATTTTGAATAAAACTGTTAACATTATTAATTTATCCAGAGTTCCAGCACTTGCACTGTAGGATTCTGTTGCATGTATAAAACTGAAATTTAGTAGGATTTATATCTGATGAATCTAAAAACTTCAATGAGAGTTTTTTTTGTACTATGGTAAAAAGATAAGTAAATATTTTAATTATAGGAACTATTCAGAACTAGGTAGGTAGAAAAAAGATGAGGTGTGAAGATGAAAAATAAAAAGAGATCAAATAAATATAAAAGAAAAACAAAAATGAGTTTAGAAGACCAAAAATGGATCAAAGTTTATTTCCACTAACCCTTTTCAATCAAAATGGCTAAATATTAAATTTGAGCCCAGCTGACAACCCACTTATTAGAAGCAATATTTAACACCACAAAATTCTAGGAAAGAAAGGAGTTGAACAGTCCTATGGCACTTTATTTATTGTGGTGGGATTTCACTTGTTGCAAAGGAGAAAGATACAATGAGCAGAAGAGATTGCATGGGAGACTTTTTTTAAAAAATCAGGAAGATGTTAGACACAGGATAACTGCAGACATAATCAAGATGATGTCATACTGGAGTGGGGTGGGCAGCCAGCCCAATGTGACAGGGCTTCTTATAAAAGGGAAAAACCTGGATTCAGAGATAGATGCACAGAGGGGGATGAAGACAGAGGTCCGGGTGATGCTTCTAGAAGCCAAGGATGCCAAAGATTGCCAGGAGCCAGGACAGACACATGGAACACATCTTCCCGGCCCTCAGGAGGTGCCAACTCCTTTGCTACCTCTACTCTCCAAAACCATGAGACAATACATGTCTACGTTTTACCTCATTTCTTCAGTGGGCACTTTGTTATGGTCTCCCATAACACTAACACTAGCAAACTAACACACTGCTCCACTTGGGATTAGGTACATGTTTAAAGCAGCCACTGTGAAGAGAAGACTGCAAATAGCAGCTAACCATCCTCTGTTCTATTTGACAAATATTCACCTATCATCAGTCATGTGTTCTTTCATGTAATCTGTCATTCCATGTTCAGCACCCTTTGAAATCTCCTTGAATGACATCTCCATTAGCCAAATATTTTAGATTAGTATTTAAGACAAAAAAGCAAAAGCAAACTAGCATGAATCAATACAAATCACGATGGGTGAGCCCATCACACTGGTGGCTGAGATCACTGCCACTGTCGCTGTGCCCAAGAGATCCTGCTCCAAGTCCCTGGAGTTAACTGAACATGGACCGCATGAGACCGCAAGCTGGGGACCCTTTCTCTAGAAATTCCTTGACAGCAACATGGAGGCCGCGTGTTTCCGTGGAGATAATCACCACCAGGATTGGGAATGGAAAAAATGTCGGATTTTGCCGTAAAGCGCCCTTCTCCCTGAGTCCCTGCATGAACTTTGGAAGAGTTAATTAGACGGCTCTCATGATCATAAACGCCTCTGCAAAACCATGATTTTCTCAGGAAAACGAGAAAGGTGCACAAGGGTCTTCGCCTTGGGAATGAAAGATCACCCTCAAGTAGTTCACTGCTTCAGAGAAGTCGGGGGAAAGCCAGGGCCATCTCTGCTGCCCAGGAAGATGAAGTCACCAGAGGGGCTGGGCCAGGTTCTAGAGGAACACAGGGAGTAACTCAAGTCCATGCAGTTGATGAAACTATCACTTGTATTTTTTACTCATAAAAGGCATTGTGCTGGGCTGTGGGTTTACGACAATTACCCACCAAGGGATTCTCTCTCTCGCTCTCTCTCCCTCTCCCTCTCTCTCTCCACACACACACACACACACACACACACACACACACACACACTCATGCTGTAATTTTTATTCATTGAAGTCAATAAACCATAGGAAGATTGATAGGTGTAATTGCTTCTTATGGTGGAATTGGTCTAGACATACCTTATTACAACTTTTTATATTTTAGTCCTGGCAGAATTGAATGCAGAGCACAAGGCTGTGTGCCCCACTCTGCTGACCATATTGGCAGCTGCCCTTGCTCACCAGAGGAGCAGCAGCTCTCTGAGACTGCCCGACAGGACCCCTGCAGTCTGGTCGAAGGTGCCCTCCTCTCCTAATGTTGTGAATATTCCATAGGAGTTGGTGCTGTCAGGGTTAACTCCTGCTGTTCTCACTTCCTACATGATTCATTCCTTTGCATGACTACCTCACTCCTCTAGGCTAGTTCTGGAGTCAGTGTCTAGGAAGGGTTTCTAAAGCCCTCTTCTCTTAAGGCTTCTTCAGTGGCTCATTCATCGCCCCAAATTGTCGCTCACCTCTTGGTTAGCTGGAGGAGCTGTTCATCTCAGCATTGCCCTCAAGGCAAAGAACACAGGTGCCACCTGCACTCCCCGGATGTCCTGCATCGAGGCAGGCCTTCCCCCAAACACAGCCCCAAATGATGCGTCAGTCCATCTCTGCATCCACTTAGCCATGCACAAACCAACTAGAACCCCATGCAAAAAACACCACAGCAAGCTCTGGTCAGCCCTGTCAAAGGAGCTGGTAAGATGGGAATGGAAGCCTTTCCTGAATGACAGTAGCTGCCTTTAGAGATTTAAACGATCCCCTGTCAGTCCTAAATTTAATGTCATGATGCTTTATTTCCTCATAAAAATCTTGCTCGCTTATATTCCTTGGTAATACGTTTGGTTGCCTGGGAAACCAGAAGAGTCTGTGCGGTAAGAGAAATAGTATTTAGGAGAGAGTTTACCACAGCAATGTTTCTGAAGTATTCTCCCATAGGGCAGTCTTCCATCCCGTGATGGACAACATACCCACCCGAGCTGCTGGAGCAGCCGCCCGCCCTGGTTCCATGGTTACAGGCAGGTGGAGTACCTATGGTGACCCACGTGCAGATCTGTTGGGGGTCACCTCAGCCCTGTGCCCAGCTAAAGTCATCTGGCTGGGTTACACAGTGGCTCTCAATGGATTTTCAGATATGTGGGGACATAACTGTATGTATTTAAAGAGACAGGAAGGAATGCTGGGAAGAGATGGAATTTTCCAGGTGTCCAGGGCTTCTTAGGAGATGTCTGTACAAGATCTGGTGCAGGGTTCCCCAGCCTTGGCACCAGGGATCTGCACACTGCAGGGTGGCCAGCAGCATCCTTGGCCTCCAGCCACTAGGTGTCAGTAGCAAGTAACTGTCCCCTTTTGAGAGCGACTGCTCTGGGCGCTCAGAGGCGAGACCAGGTAACTGCTGGCCACCCGAGCAGGCGAGTCACCTTCTGAAAGTCAAGTTATGGATGCTTGGGGAGCGGGAAGGAGCGTGTCCTGTGCGGAAGTCTCCTGATGTCTGGTCTGTACTACTCCCGGGGCCTCAGTCGCCTAAGAAGCTCCCGGAACTTCGCGCCTCATGGGCTTCTGGAGGCTTCCGAGTGATTAGAGGGGCGGGCGGCAGCTGTGATCTGGTGTAACTGACACAGTACAAATTGCTTGTCAAATTTCTCTCACTTGTTGGCAGAGTGCAACCGTGGGAACATGTACACAGAGAAAAAGAAATGTCTAAACATGCAGAGGCAGACGGCGCGCTAACTCTGAACCTGAGGAATGGAGATGCCAGGTGTGCTGTGCTGACTAACTCCCAGCCGCCCCGGAACACCACCGTCCTCCCTGGGAGGCGCTGGTGAGCGAGCCCTCGAGCTACACCCCTTCGGCCTGGTTACTGTCTTCCCTGCTTTGCAAGCGTCGGCCTCCCGTACCCAGAAGGCTTCCTGAGATTCTTGTCCATTCTCCAGACACCCAACCCCGCCCCTCGTTGCATGCTCCGTGGTCAATAAATAACTGGGTGCCATGCTAAGTAACGTAAAATGTGCTTTTTCCCTAAAGAGAAACTATCTCACCATTTCAACCTCTTGGAAGTTTCTTCCTTTACACAGACTTGTGAGGCACATGCAATCTATAGTGTTAGTGAGGGTACATTCTGCTTTTCATATGTTGCTCCTCGGTGCAGCAACCTGACTAGGGAACCAAATCTTATCCGCAGTGAACTGCTGAGGAAGCCAGTCTGAGAAAAACTATTCTTGTGAAGCTAGAATGCTGTTCCTGGTGATAACGGAGGGTGTCCATTAATAACTGACTTGAAATGGCCAGGGCTTGATTAATAATCTTTGTCCCTAATTCCAATTTAGGACCAACCAGAGAAAGCAGAATATATTCTCCTATGCAGTCACATAGGGTACTCTACTCCTACTTTGCCTGCTTCAGCTTCCATAGGTTCCAATCAGGGCTCATCTGAGACCTTTCCTTTCTTCTGCTACTGTATTTACTAGGTTCATGCCTTTGGGTCTCTGGCAAAATTCAAATGGTGGTGTGCCTGACTCAGTTTGCTGTAGCAGGCTCAGCAGGGATAACCTTCGCTTTTCTCCTCTGGTTGGTGTTTGCTCATTTCCACATCACCCTCTGTACCAGGAGGAGCACATGTACACTCTTCAGTACATGGCCCAGGGGACTGGTGCTGTCCTCAAGGGCTCAGTGGGGCTGTTTATTGAAAAATACTGCCATCTCTGTGATGGAGCATGACAGCCAATGCCCAGATGGCCAGTGGGTGGCTCTAGAGAGTAGAGGATGAAGAGAGATACAAGGCCTTCTTGAAAGTGGAGAGAATTTGGATGAGAGATGGGCAATTAGCTATATGGATTTGGGCCCAGAGCCACAAGCCTGTGAAGAATGAAGACATGACATGGCTCCCTGACTGATGGAGCAATCTTGGTAGGAATGTGAGACGCCTGACAAGAAACTTGGCCTTCATGACAAGAGCTTTACATTGTCAGCCACTGCTCCATCTCATGTTCTGGGAATTTGTCTTGATCATGTTTACAGCTCTTAGAAGAAGAATAGGAGTAGGAAAATATAGACATTAGACACTAAAAAGTAAACTTATGTGGGATATGACCATGTTCTTCTAATAACTGGGAAATCAGAATTGCAAAGGCTTTTCTGAGAATTCAGTCTTGAGTAATTCCTCTCATTTCCAGAATTATTATTATTTTGGGTATGGACCCTGTAATGTCTGTTTCCCATGTTCACTTAACAAATTACACACATTGACAGTCTGATATTTTGTTGATTTTGGACTCCTTTAAAAAGGCAAATATAAGTGACACTGTCAGTCTTCATATCCCAAACTGAGAATAAACTTCAAAAGTAACATGGGATTTTGAAAATATTAGTTTATTTTTTTTTCATAACTGGAAGCTGTGCATTTAATAAGCTTTGTCACCTTGTATGTTTCTCTCCTGTGAACTCTCTCCACACGTAAAGCATGCCCTGGAATCCCAATGTTTGTGAATGTATAAATGTGGATTCAGGTGGGCTGGGGCTTGGTCTTTACTGCCTGAGAACAGAGATTCTAGGGAGTAACAGAGTGGTGGAGATAACAGTGGGAACACTGGACCCCAAGTGCTTGTTAAGTAAAAAGGAATTTTAGATGATCATTAGCTTTGTATTATCTGTGTTGCTGCTTCCCCTCGATATCATCTGGCCACCTATCCATCACGAAACAGAACAACTTTCCAGATGCATGTATCTTTTCAGTCCATGGAGAACTAAAACTGTACCTCTGGAATCTCTTCCTCATTGTCCCTACACACACAGCTGCGACACTGAATCTGCCTGCACGTCTGACTGTCTTCATTAACATCACTTCATTATCTTTATGAGCATCATTTCCTATTCCAAGAGATCCTTGCCCAAGCAAATAATTTGACTGTTCAATGCAGAAACTTGTGGAAAGCCCTATGAACTTTTCAATGGAAACTGTCAAAGAATAGTTTGTAGCCTAAGACTCTGAATTCTTGTTTCTACCATTACCGAATGTGGTAAGTCCTAGCATTGAAAGGCCTGCCTTGGAACCTCGGCTTGGGATTCTCAACATAATCTCATTTATCCTTCCAAGGCACTACCTGAGCTCCCTCAAGTGCTGTGCAATAAATCCAGCCTTGTGTTGGAGACATTTGAGGGTCAGCTGTCCTACCACTGAGGACCATTTTCCCCCTCACTGGGAACTCAGATATGAGCATGTGAGGCAGCTAGCTTTTTGTGCTATCCCTTCATTATTATGCTATACATTTACTGCATAACATATAAAGTTTGTATGTTTTCATTAATATGACATTAATTTTGGTCTTCCCCTCCACAAAACTTGTATTCTCAGTTGCTTTATTTCTTTGTGTTATGATAAACTAGACTCAAGTAGGGCAGTGGCTAGTTGAGCTGTAGAGTTCATCAGAGCCTCCTAAGGACATGACCTAATATATGCAATTTAAGCTTCAGAGGAATTAGAATAAGGAATGGATGACAGCTATGATGTGCTATAAACTTACTACCAGGCCAGGTTAATCTCAGATGACTAATCAATTTGGTCTTCCTAGAAACTTTAAAGGTGCATTTCTCTTTTTCTTTTCCTACTATTTTTTCCTTCCAAGCTTTGATGATTTTGCAAGTGGAAGCAAGTTTATCAGAGAAGTCTGAGAGGAAATAAAAAGCTTAAGTAGTGCTATGAGTGCAACAGATGGATTTCAGTGTCTGTAGGAAGAGGTTGAGCTCTTTGGTATAAAGAAAAGCACGTTCAATACCAAAGAACGAATTCGACTACATCCGATAATGCACTCAAATCCGCCCTGAGAGTCCTCATCTCCAAGGATTTGCCTGGAAATATGCTTTCTGCCTGAGATTCTTCATGGTTCCCTGGAGATGCCCAGCAATAGCTGTGTTCTGTGAGCACCATGTGGGTGAGGCGGAGTTGACAGCAAATCGGAGATGACCCTCTCCCCCTAAAAGATGAGGTCTAATGGAGGGTCATGAAATGTATTTGATCCACTTTGTGTTCATGTTTTGAATTTGTTTAGGTGAGCTGGTTTGGGTAATTAAAGCCTAGAGTTCTTAGGAGTTTTTTCCCCTCTCAAAATAAAGGAATAGCAAATGGACTCTCCAGTCTTATCAAACTCTGCACAGGTGCAGGAGAAGGTAATTACAGGCACTCCAGATCGCGCGACTGTGTCAGCGCAGTGTGTTCGTTAAGTGTCAGCACTTGCCCTCATGATTCCATTACTCGCCAGCAGGTTTCTTGGAAGGACAGACGTGAGGCCTGAATATAAAACCCAGGTGAAAGGAGAGCATTTCTTTTTCAGGAAAAATTAAGCAGCAGCCTAAAAAAGAATTCTTCCTCCAGTAAAACTGAAAATAAAAAATGTGCTTTACAGAAAAGGCTTCATCACCATAGCCTGGAGATAACTTAATATACTGAAAAATTTGAATCTCTTTCTCACAGAGCAGAGAGGCTGAGGAACCTTTCCCTGGGAGATGTGGGGGACCTAGAGCCGCCGTGGGAGAACATCAATGTGAAGGGACAAAGCGTGGGCTCTGCACTAGGGCTGCTGCCACTGTCACCCCCAGGAGAGCAGGGCTGGCAGGGAATAGACTCAGGTCTGCCCTGAGCCCAAGTGTTGTTCTAAGTGCTCCATCATTTCTGTCTCATAACATTCTTAGGAGATCAACACCACTGTTCTCTCCTCTCCATTTAATTTTAATTTTAATTTAATTTAATTTAATTTTTTTGGTACCAGGGATCAAACTCGGGACCTTGCACTTATGAGGCAGGTGGCAGAACCACTGAAGTAAATCCCCAGCTCTTCTCTCTATTTTCGCCAAGAAGAAATAAAGGCACTAGAAAAAAATAACTAACTTGTCCAGGGATTCAAACTAGACACTGTACAGTGTCCAACACTGAGCCAGAAATAAAAGATATGAGGTGTGATAAAAAATATGGCATCTTTAGTTGCACCACTGTGGCTGCCACCATGTCCTGAATCAATTCAAATCATTTACTTCTCATGGTCATTTTGATTTTGGAGAAGAGTCAGAAGTTACAGGGGTCCAGATGCAGTGAATAAGGTGGATGAGGATGCACCATAATGTGTCTATGGGCCTGGCTCTCCATTGGATGGAACTCAGCAGCAATACTCCTTCTATTTTATATCACAACTTGTAATGACACTCCTGAAAGTGGACCTCCAGAGCTACTTCAGAAAGTGACAAGAGTGAGGGAATAAGTGTGTTCTAAGCAAGTATTCTGAGAGGGATTAATGGCAATGTGTCTTTTACTATAAGAATTTAAAAAATACTCAAACATTCACCGTGCATTTCAACCACACCTCAAAAGTGAGGAAGGTCAGCGCTTCTGAGAAGCACATTCCCCGCCCAAGCATCATTGTTCCCTGTGACCTTCATCAGAGGCTCCTGCAAACCCCAGACTGTAGTTTGGGTTCCCTGGGCTCAGCTGTCTTGTCCCCTCCTCTCAGCTGGTCCCCACCCTGGCTTCCATCTCCTTGAATCCCCCACTTCTCTTGGAAGACAGGGCTTGTTTATTTTGCCTGGTATTGTTGTAAGTAGGAGTTTAGAGCAGTGATGGCGAATCTTTGAGAGACCGAGTGCCCAAATGCAGCCCTGAACCCACTTATTTATCACAGAGTGCCAACACTGCAGTTAACCTGAGTGCTTGGCTGCTGGGGCAGTGCTGGACTTGGCTCCTGTGCTAACAGAGAGGGCTCTGTGTGCCTGCTGAGGCACGAGTGCCATGGGTTTGTCACCACTGGTTTAGAGCATTTGCTCTGTAAAAGTTGAAAGTTGTGAGAGAATAACCTTAATTTAACATTTTTTAGATGGCTCGGGGTCTTTTGGAGAGCATCATCTATTTATGTATATTCTAATAATATTCTCATAAAGAGCTTCGATTCCACAGTAAGTGACACTACTTAGTTCCGTGGTTGTATTTACACGAAGAGTGGTTACACGCCATCC